TGATATTGGTTTATGTCTATAAGTAATTTTGTATTAATATGTATTTTCTGTAATATTTGTTGTTTAAGTTGTCTGCTTTTGTTTTCTCTACACCGCTTAGAGATATATTATTTTATATTTAAGTGGTACAGAAATGGTGTAAATAAACATTTCCCCCAAATAATTCTGGGACTTTGCTCTAGTCCTTTGCTAAGGGTGCTGAGAGTGGTTAGGAGATCCCACTCACAGAGGTATGCTTCCCAGTACTCTTAGCCAACTGCAGTTCCCAGGATTCTTTGAGGGGAAGTACAGTGGTACATTGGTTGCCAAACCTAATTCATTCTGGGAGTCTGTTTGACTCCCAAAACGATTCAAAAACCAAGGCGTGGCTTGTGATTGGCTGCAGGACCTTCCTGCACTCAAGCGGAAGCTGTGTTGGATGTTCGGTTTCCAGAAAACGTTCACAAACCAGAACACTTACTTTTGGGTTTGTGGCATCCGGCAGCCGATTTGTTCGACAATTAAGCCGTTCAAGAACCAAGGTACCACTGTAATGCCTATTCACATGGTATCAGAGTGCTGTAAATGAGAAGTGACGCAGATGTGACCTGAGACAGGACTGAGATGGTTACGTAAGTATATCAGGATGCAACATTCCTTCCTCTTAGGGAGGCACAAAAAGCGCTGGTTGGGGAGGCTGCAAGGCCAGCCCCAAGATATTCTGATGCCTGTGGCAAAGGATATGGTGATGCCCTCCTGCTTCTGCATACCCCTTTACCGAAGCTGCCCAGACTGAAAGTTGGATTTACTTCAGAGCTGGTGAAGGGAGGGTAACCTCTCCGACACCTGAGGGCACCAGGCTAGATTAGAGGGGAAGAGCAACTCAGTGGCAGAGCACCTGAAAAGGCATGATGACCCATTAGGAAGAAAAGAGAAGGGAAACAGAGTTGGGCTGTGTAAACCCCACCAATTTCAATCGCACGACTTCCCCCAAAGAATCCTGGGAACTGTACTTTATCCCTCACAAAGTGACAATTCCCAGCACCTTTAGCAAATGACAGCTCCCAGCATCCTTTGTGGGAAGCCATGCACTTTATATGTGCTTTACCTGTGCAGTGTGCATGCAGCCTCCATTGCAGAAAATCTGAATGAATAAGCTATCAAAATAAGTTGATAGCTTCCTGAAACTGGTTCTCCAAAACTCTCCTTTCCTTTCCAATGTGCCATGACTCTTTCCTTTCGCTTATAAGCCTTGGGTCAAGGCTTAGACTATTTCTGATTTATTTATTTTTTACAGTGCTTAGCAACTTTAGGTACTTTTATAGCTAATGAACAAGCAAGGATATCAACAGAGTTGGTAAGGACTACATACCAGCAGGAGAGAGCATATTTTTCATGCAGCAGGTCTCAGGCTTAGTCCCCAGCACCTCCAGCTAAGGTGGTCAAAGACCCCTAGAGAACCACTGACAGTTGGTGTGAGGCAGAGGTGGGCTTGTGGAATCTACTTTGGGTTCCCCTTCAAACTGGTGCTGGTGCCATTCAGATGATACTGGACTACATCTCCTGCCATCCCTGACCATTAGTCATGCTGGCTGGGGCTGATGGGAACAGGAGCTCAGAGTGGGTTTATCCATACTTAGGGTTGCCATCTTTGTTTTGGCAAAATACAGGACAGGGTGGAGTGATTTGGGGGGGGGAGTGGTATATATATTTTCATCTGGTGCTGAAGTGATTTCAAAACAATCCATTACAATCTATTGCAGCCTAACAGGATGGCCCCTCTGGAATTTGTCACACATACACATACACATACACATACACATACACATACACATACACATACACATACACATGAATTTGTAAATTTGTCTGTGCTTGGCTATCCAGAGCTGAAATAATATGACCTTTCACACACAGGTGTTTGGAGAGGATCCCTAACTTCACAGGGAGAGAGAGACAGTGACACACAGCGAAAAGACCTGAAATACAGGACAAAACTGTATCAATACAGGATGTAGCATTTCACACTGAAATATGGGACAATCCTGTATTATACAGGACAGGTACAATACCTTTCCACACTTCCTTTTGTGCTGCTAATTTCCCCCAGGGAAAACTGCTCTTTAGAGCTCAATCATAGCAAACAGCAATTTGGATGTTCCCTGGATTGCCATTTGTTCTGATCTATCACTAAAGAGTGGGCTTTCCCTTGGGGAAAGGAGTGAGACAAGGGGGGAAACGCTCAGACCTGTGCCTAGAAAGTGCAAGACAAGGAGAAAACTGCTCGAACCTGTGCTTTCTAGCGGAAATGTGGACAACCCCCATCTCTCTTCGTAGGGTACTCTGAGAATTGTACCTCTAGGAGGCAAATAGGGGCCTCCTATCAACTCTCAGCTCCCTTAACAAACTACAGCTCCCACAATTCTTTGGGAGAAACCATGACTGTTTCAAGTGACATCATAGAGCATTGAAAGTGCAGTGTGAATGTGGTCAAGGACAGCTTGACCTGCACACAAGAATAACCTGAAGGAACTCCTGTTTGTTTGGGTTGTGTGAACTAGACCCCAGTTCACTATTTCCTGTTGCTAAGACGAAGGTTGGTTCCTGGCCTGTTACAAACCTATCAGTCAGTTTCTTTTTTTTTCTTTTTCTCATATCCTCCTGCAATTTTCAGCCTGCCTGCTGGTCTTTGCCAATTTTATTTAGCTTGGACTCCATGCCTAGGCAATGGGCAATGTTTAATTTGCCTGCGTTTAAATTAATTAACATTATGATGTCGTCGAAAATTACTTCATTTGTAAATCCTCGGGGGAAGCAGTGTGTCATTTCTCTGTTCTCTAACAGCTCCTACGCACTGCCGGCAATGAATCAGAGTTAATACCCTTTCGCTGCAGGAGTGAGTATGCAGATGAGCCAAGATTTTTTGGGTGTGTGTGGTGTGTGTGTCTGCTTCTGCTGCTGTTTCACCTCCCAGAAGATTTTTTCTTTTAACAGCAACCTTGCCCTCAGTGCTACGGTCAATGAGTATGCATCATTTAGGAGATGCCAGTAAGCTGTGTTCCTCTTCTATATGAGAGGTGGCAGCCTTATTCGTAAGAAATACAGCATGGTGTAGCGGTTAGAGTGTCAGACTAGGACAGGCATGGCCAAACTTGGCCCTCCAGATGTTTTGGGACTACAATTCCCATCATCCCTGACCCCTGGTCCAGTTAGCTAGGGATGATGGGAGTTGTAGTCCGCATGAGGGTGAATAGGGTACGGCCCCACCAACCTCAGTCTGCCCTTAGCCCTCCCCCCCACCTACTTATAGCTAGTCCAGGGCTGGCACTGCCTGCCAAAAGATTCTTTCTCCATAGTCTCAGGGTACATTCAGATGTAGGGGGTATTGCATTAGTTGTTTTCCTAATCATGCCAGTGCTTCAGTCCTGTTTTCTAACATTCCCTTCAAACTGCAGTACCTGTTGTGTTATGGGACTTTGGTTTTTTGACCGATATGCAGGCACATGACACTAAATTTCATTCACACTGGTGCGTGTGTTGGGTTGACACCACAGTGAACGACATTGGAACATGTCACTATTCCCCCACCCTTTCTGCACATGCCTGTTTCTATGCCCCCATGATTCCCCCATGAACACATCAGGGAAATAACTGCATGCTAGCATACGGCCCCCAATTTTGTCACTTTACTCCCTCCATTTTCTGGCTTAAGGGGCCTGCAAAGAGGTCCCCACCCCACTTCCTGGAATCAGAAAACACAGAAAGGAGTGCTAAACATGCACTATATTCCATAGGTTTTCCAGAACTGACTTTTATGCCATGTGGAAAGCTTAACCGTGGTGTAGAAAATAACAGAGCAACCTCGGGAAAGTGAAATAAACAGGCTCAGTGTTGCCACTGTAGAACTCAACAGGGAGGAGGGCAAAACTGGAATTTGTGGGTGTTTGCCTGTCACTGATCTCAATGCTTTCCACCCCACCAAACCCAATGGACATCAGCCACCACTGACTAGGACGTGGGAGACTTGGGTTCAACTGAGCTCTGAAATAGTGTTTGCAAATAATGTAAGAAAGAAATAAAACTGATGACAAATATGACTGAGGTTCTGGAAAGCAAGCCGTATGATGAGTTGTTGAGGGAGCTGGGTGTGTTTAGCTTGGAGAAGAGGAGACTGAGAGGAGATATGATAGCACTTTTCAAATATCTAAAGTGCTATCACATAGAAGATGGAGCAAGCTTGTTTTCTTTCTGCTCCAGACGGTAGGACCCAAAACAATGGATTCACCTTACAAGGAAGGAGATTCCAGCTTAACATTAGGAAGAACTTTCTGATGGTAAGATACTGTGTAAGATATAACAAGTATGATCTAGTTTCTTCGAGAACAATCAGAAGTCTATTTTAGGTCCTTTTATGTTTTAATTTTTTTTGTATTTTTAAATTTTCTTTTTTTCTAGTATGGGATGGGATACAAACTGTAATATAGTAGACTGTTGTATAAATTTGTGAAATATGTTAAATAAAGGCTTATATTTTTTAAAAAAGGATAGGTGAAAACCAGCACCTTGAAAACCAACACCATTTTTTCCTACACAATTTTCAAGATTGTGTGCATTTAAAAACACTGGTAGCATTAAAATAAATTCAAGTGTAAATAAGGTTTGATGGTGTAACAATGGATTTACTGAATGGTTTAGTTTATGTAAAATATGCAGGGATGTACGGTAAGCAAAATGAACCACTGAAAGAGAAGAAGGGAATCCATTAACTTAAGGTTGTCTAAATGAATATCTTGAAATGTAAACTAGAAAATTTAATAAAAAACTATTACAAAGTAAAGAAAACCAGCATCAAAAAGGACACATGTACAGACACACAATAGCATGGGCTGTCATATTCAGCACTGACTGAAGTCTCTGAACATACACGGAGTGCTGCAGTACTCACTCACCTTCCATCCGTTCTGTACCACATTGGTGGAGATGCCTACTAAGCTCAATAATGGAGGCATCTCTTTTGAAGGTCAGGAGTGGCAACCTAACCCAGAGGGCAAGACCACCCCTTGGCAGCTTACCTCCTCAAAGAGTTCCAGGCTGTAGGTGTTATCATCATCCGCAAAGTAAACAATCCCCGGCTGGCTGTTGTTCTTGTTAAAGGTCTCTCTCAGCCACCGTAGGGCCAGGTTCCTCTGCATTGTCCCCCGGGGGATGCGGGGGTCCCTCATGTCACCCCTCAGCTTGTAGTTGCGTGGGGTTTCCACATTGAGGTGGGTGTAGTTCAACCCAGTGTCCCTCAGGAGCCGGGTGACGAGAGGGGTCCTCCGCTGTGAGTCCTCCACTAGGATCCAGTGCAAGTTCATCACGTGCAAAAAAGTGTTGGCCAACCGTGTCAGCTCCGCCTTCTGGACCGGCCGGCTGTAGGTGGGTGTGACGACATGGATGGTGGGCAAGGCGTCCGACCAGGGAGGTGGTCGGGTGTAGACATACTCTGTCCTAACTACCTCCACAATGTCACGGTCAGACAGGCAGTACTCCTTGGAGTCTGAGCCTTGGACGAAGTCGCGACGGGCATCTCCACCATCTTCTGCAGCGGAGCATGGGAAGGAGAAGGGCAGAGAGGGAACAACTGGTTAGTCTCCCTGGAGAAAGCTGAGAAGGCCGCTCAGAAGCAAGAAACTCTTCCAGTTTGGATTGTTGGGAGCAGAGACCAAACACTAGCAGGAAAGGATGGAGAGGGGAGAAACTCAAGACACATCTGCATTACAGGAGGTTGACTAGATGACGCTTTGGCTCCCTTCCAACTCTGCGATTTTATGATCTACACAGCTCTGCACCAAGACAATCTGGATTTTCCAATCCACAACCATAACAGCCAAGTCTTCTCCTGCATACCCTCTCACTCCTCTCTCATACCCAATATGCTGGCTTTTAGATTGTAAGCTCCTTGGGACAGAGTCCTATACTCTGGAAAATTGATGGTACTGTATAATTATCAACATCTATTTTTTCACCTTTTTTAAAAAAAAGAAAATAGAAAATGAGGAAACATAACACACGATGCAGGCCCAAATCTATCAATTTTGGTTTCGCTTAGTTTCTTGCTTTCCCAATCTTAAATTCACTTAGCTACATTTCCAAATCAGTACTTTTAAGTCCTCATGATAATTCATCAGCATTTTAATGTGTGCTTCTCTGAACCTACACATTTTTAACACGAAGTTTTGCCTAATCTACACATTTTGTCAGCAATCTCCTGTGTATGTACAATATATAGAGAGAGTTTACATTTGGTGTGCTGTTTTCATGGATATCTGTGTTTCTAAGCACACTTTCCTCTAACATATGCATTTTTGTACCCCTTTTTTTGGTTGGGGAACTGCATCACAGCATTTGAAGAAAAGTGAATTTCTAGGATAGATGTGTTTTGGTTCAAGTGATGTTTCAGAAGGGGTGACTTAGGTAGGTCTGCATTAAAATGTAAATGTTGAACCAAAATTCTAGTGTTTAGAATTTTGTTTAGGCATTAATTTTAATAGCAGGGGGGGAAATGTAGCATTTGGAAGAATACAATTGTCAACTAATGCGTCCAAGAGAGCTGTGGGGAAGTCAAATGGAACCAGCCAGATTTGGGCAAAACAATGACTCTACCCTCAGGGCTACTGGCTGATTATTACTTTGTGAGACCAATAGCACATTTGATGTTGATGTTTCACCCATGGCCTGTTGATGTTTCACCCATGGCAGCAGATGATCTTCTAGAGAAGTCTCTTGAGTGTTTCTTTTAAAAGAAATAATGTAGGAGCTTGGAGGACCTCCTGTTTGTTTCTGCTTATGCCCTGCTTTCCTTCTTGTAAATGAAAGCAAAATGTTACACAGTCACCATAAGTGCTCTCTTCTGTCCAAAGGAAACCAAACTAGCCTGGAACTTCTCAGTAAATGGGGTAGCAAGGAGTGTGCAACAATATACCGTATACCAAAACACGGTGGTGACTGCCGACAGTTTATGGATGCTCATCATACAATCTCATTAGATTCCTGCAGCATCTTCTCTTTTGGTGTATCTAGACTACAGATTATACCAAGTGAACAACAGGATCACTAAAGAGGGGCTGCAGTTGAACCTGCTGTATCAGCAGGGGTTGCCCATTCTTGTCAATGGATTGTGGCTGGGGCAGAGGGCTCAATCCACATACAGTGCCCTGAAAACCCTGTTTGCACCATTGTTGGACAGTTATTTCCTTTTCTCCAGGGAAACCTGAACACTGCAGTTCTTGGAGACATGCGTGCTTACTGTAGGTGCCAGAGGTGGATGCCAGGAACAGGTCAGCAATAACCTGGCTTCAGTTCAGTTAACTATTTACTCAAAGAAACAAGACAAGCCCAGGAGGCCAGGCCTAGTGAGCACAGCCACTCTTCCTGGCAGAGTTTGCTTCTATGAGACAGTTGCAAGGACTGAAGATTCCCACCTGCCCACAGCTACCTAAGTCTCCACCCTTGGTTCCTTCCCAAGCAATCTGAGTCTCTGTCATCTTGCCTGTATTTTATCAATCTGTATTTGCTCTCCTCTCCTCCCCTGTCCCTGGTTCTGGACTGTTCTCTGCCTTAGCCTCTTCCTGCTCACTAAAACCTGTTATCTCTTCCGACACCACCTCCTGCCAGTCTGCTACCACTTTTCCCTCTGACCACTCATCATCCTACTGCCAATTCCCTGGCTCTGAGCCTTCTTCAATTTGGGGTTCCTGTGAGGGATTTCCCCGCTGGTGCCTCCCACCACTTTTCGGCATCCAGCCAGTACATGACATTAGGCATCTCTGGAAAAGAATTCTCAGCATCGTCACCCAACTACAATTCTCAAGATCCTTTTGGGGAAACCACGACAGTTCAGGCAAAGCAAAGCCAGAGTTCCTAATCCAGATGTGGAAGTTGGAAGGGGCTATTGCCAGGCACACCAGCCGCAAGACACCTGAAAGAGCAATGCTTGGGCAACACATTATGGTGGCAGTTCATGTTTCCTAGCAAGATGTTACGAATAAGAATGCATGGTCTATTTTAGATTGTAGGCTCCTTGTGGGTGAAAACCCATCTGTTTGTGGCCTTGTGAAATGTCCATGTACACATATGGCACTGAATGAATACAACTGCAGCAGCATTAATGCATAATAATAATAATAATAATAATAATAATAATTTCTGTTTGCAATTACTCGAGGTACAGTTGGACATGCTCTCCTGTGGTTGCAAGAAATTAGCTGCCATGGCCACTCCCCCATACTTTAAGGTTATTCATAATGGACTGAAATAGAATTGCCCCACGAGTCTGTTTACCAGTTAAAGGTCAGATGTTTTTTGCTCTTTCCAGGAATGGGTAGCTGATTCATGGAGCCATTTCAGTCAGCATACCAGCGGCTCAACCACATTTTAATCCTAATGTAGTGAAACGCTTTGTCCATAGCTTCATCCAAAAGGTGAAGAAATTTGCTTAGAAGGTCAGACCAATGGTCCATCTAAATCCAGCATCCTATTCTCAGTGTGACCAAGCAGATGCCTGTAGGAAGCCCAGAAACAAGACACGGGTGCAACAGCACTCTTCCTGCTCGTGATTCCTAGTGACAGAAGTCAGAGGCAAATTGCCTCTGCTTATGGAGGTAGCTCATAGCTGTTACGACTAGTAGCAGCCTTCTCTTCCAAGGATTTCTCTAATCTTCTTTTTAAAGCCACCCAACCTCCATTTAACAGCATTCGCCCAAAGGTCGTGACTGAACAGTCCCACATGTAATGCTTCATCTTGCTTCTGAGTTTGTATGCCAAGAACTGTCTGCATCCACACAAGCCTGTCCGTTTTCTATGGCAGAGGTGACTGCGGTGATGCCCTCCATATTGGACTCCAATTCCCATCATCCACAACCATTGGCCCTGTTGCCTGGGGCTGATGGAAGTTGCTGTCCAAAATATCTGAAGTTGGAGAATCCTGTTCTAGCTTATGACCCCCCCCCCAAAAAAAAATGCATTTGAGAGAGATCCAAAGTAATTGACACCAGCCTTTAGAGCTTGCATTGTGGTTCGCATCAAGACCAGCATAATCCAGAGTATATTGGACTAAAATCCTGGATAGCCTGGTAAGGATTTTCTTTGTTGATTCTTATTAGACCTTGGGGATGATCAGTTTAGGACAGGGGAGAACTTGTAGTCCATCAGATGTTGCTTTATTCTTAACTCCCATCATTAAAGGAGGAGGAGAAGAGCCATGTATACATTACCCTGAACTCCTTAGAAGAAATACCCTGAACTCCTTAGAAGAAAGGTGTTGTAACTACAATAAAGAAATGAGCTCCGTAACTGTGGCCATGCTAAATGGCACTAACTTTATTATTTATATTTATTTTTTATCAGCATTTTTATACCTCTCTCCAACCATTTTCCCAGGATGGTTTAAAAATATTTTTAAATGGAAAAAAAAGGAAATACACCAAAATATAAAGTTAGCAGAAAATATACTTCCATGAATGAAACATATACCGGTACTTAAGGTTGTGTCATTGCATTCTACTTTATGGAAAGGTCAAAGAGCAGTAGCTCAGTGGCAACCACAAGGCTCCAGGTTCAGTCCTGGGCATCTCCAAATACAGATGGGAAAGACTCTTCTCTGAAATGCTGGAGTTCCCCTGCTAGTCAGTGTAGACAATGCTGAGCTCAGCTGACCAGTGCTTAAGCTGGGCATAAGGCAACTTCTTGTTTCCACATAAGCCTGACCCTTCACTGATACCATTTACTGCAGCTGCATATACCATGTATTGCACTTTCAGAAATTAGATGGGTGGTACCTGGAGATGATGCCTTTTTGGAGGAACACCTTCCTCAAGGATGTTCACCGAGCACCAATGTTGTGGTTTATTTAGGTGTCCAGTAAAGACGGTCTCATTCTCCCCCATGGCTTCTGCTTAGAAGTCGTCTGGCAGGGATGAGGTCTTAGCTCACGTTTGTTGTACACAGAAGGTACCAGGGCCAACTCCTGACATTTCCAGGTAGGGCTGGGGAAAACTCCTTGCATGAAACTCTGGAGAGTCTCTGCTGGCCAGTGTAGACAACACTGAGCTGCATGGATCAGTGATCTGACTTGACAAAAGGCAAATTCCTTATCCTTACCAGTCATGGGAAGTCTAGGAATGCTAGTCCTTAACTGTCACAGGTCACACTGGATCCTGGCTGCTCTTCCTGAGTTCTCCATCTGTTTCTCTCAGCTGGGAGACAGGTCTGTGTGTGCCCTGTGACCTGTCCTGACCCATCTCAACTACCCCTTAGGTGTGGTGGAGGGAACTTCAGGATCAGTGTGGGTGAGGTAAAGTAAGGTGAGGTTTCTCTACCTGACTGAGGGAGGTGACATCTTGTCTTTTGCCTCCTACATGCAAAACAAGCCCTGTTGCTCCCACAAGATGCTGCAGTGGCCAGGAGTTTAGAGGGCTTTAAAAATGAAAGATTTGACAAGAGTCATGGAGATAAACCTCATCTCTGTGGCTGCAAGCCAAGAGAGATAAACAGGGAAGGAAATACAACTCAGTGGAAGAGCTCGGACTTTGCTTGCAGAAGGAATCAGGTTCAATCCTTGGCATCTCCCAGGTAAAAGGATCAGGCAACACGGCTGCAAAGGAGCCCAGAGAGCCACTGTCTGTCTGATTTGGCCAAGGTAGGAAACATATATCATCGAGCCCTAGTGGAAGGAGGTTAACATCTTGTGTACACTGCTTCCTGAACACGGAAAGAGCCTTGCTGGATCAGGCCAAGGGGAGCCTACCTAGTCCAGCATCCTATTCTCAGTGGGAAAATGGCAAGCAGGATTTGACCCCGAGAGGAACCCTCTCCTCCTGCAGTTTTGAGCAACTGGCATTCAGAAGCATTGCTGCCTCTGGGTGGGGGATGCACTGGATGCAGAATAAATGAGAGAATGTACACAGTCTAAGTAAAACCAACCCATATAAACTCCAAAACCGTTTCCACCCTGCAAGAAGCTTGGAAGAACGCTGTGTGGCTGTGAGCTGCCCGAGGATGAAAATGAGCAGGGTGATGATGGAAGAACTGGGAATGAGCCATGGGGGTGTTGGGTTGGCGGTAGTGGAAGCAAGAGGTGGGCGCAGTTGGCCCAGACTGGTGGCTTTCTCCTCACCCTTGTGCACGGCAAGCAGCGGAGCAATGGTGCTTTGGTGCCACACGGTGATGAGCAGTGTCCAGGGAAGAACTATCAGCACGATAGCCAGGATGTCTCGACGCTTCGGCATCTCCAAGGCTGAAGGGACCCACAGCTCCTCATTACCTGACAGCGAGAACCCCAGAGACAGAACAGCAGAGGACATGGAGAACAGAGATAAATGGACAAGAAGGAACAACGGCAGAGAGAGAGAGAGAGAGGGAGGAGAGGGCGGCAGAAGGTGGCACGGCTCGTAGGTCTTACCAGTACTCACAACCCACCCATTGCACAAGCAGGTTTGCAGGGACAGCTGCTGCCAGAGGAGGAGAAGGAGGAGGAAGGACAGGCCGCTGCAAGCGGGGGACGTTCCTCCAGGCAATATCACGGGAGCCGCCAGCGAGGAGGACTTCAGGGTCCCATTTGGACAGAGGCCTGCAAGGGAAAGCAGAAAGGAAGAGGCAGAAAGAAGCGCTTGAGGGCTGGGCGGGTTCAACGTTTCACTTGCTAAAGCCTGCCTCGTGAGTTGCAGCATCAGTCTGGGTCTTGACTCAACCCTGGAACCTGTTAGGGTAAACTCTGAACATGTGCAAAGAGCCTTTCCTTCGCCACTGGGTATCTACAGCAGGGATGGGGAAGCTGAGGCCCCCCAGATGTTGTTGGGGACTCAGTCTGGTCAAGAACCAGGGGTAATGGGAGTCAATTACTTTCACGAACACTGTTTCACTGTTTTTCCGTGCACTCAGTTTTTAAATGATTGTCAAACTGCCTTGTGTTTTATGGATTTCTAAGACAAAGCAATGAAGGAATGTAAATCATCACTGCCATCCAGCAACTTCTGGAGATCCATAGCTTCCCCGTCCCTAAACTACAGCCCTGCTCTCACCAACCCATGGCCGTGTCTGAGGCCTGATCCACACATGCCTCTGCCCCACCCTACTCTGGTGACCCACAGTTTAGCAGCAGAGAAGGAAGTTGGGGAAATGGCACCAGGGAAGATGAGAAAAACTTGGGAGTTAGCCAGACATGGTGAGAGGACTTCATGGTGGCTGCTTGGACCTTCTGCGGTAAAAGAGGCTGCATGAGTTATTTTTTAATTTGACAAGTCATTAATTTGCCAGGCCAAGTGCATCTAAGCACACACAGAGTGCTTGAGTGGGTGGAAAGAATGACATGCAAATTGTGGGCGTGTACACAGTGTGATTCCCATTTGGTTGTTGTTAAACTACACCAAGAACTTTAATATTTTGTCACCTGCTGTAAACACCATAAACACTGTAAACACCCTGTCCCTGCTAAACGTTCTTGGATAATTTCCTTCAGCGTAGGTCATTTGCTCTGTATTTTATAATTTTATGATGTTTTGACAATTTTTTTTTTTGGTATTATAACTGCTCTTATAGTAAGTAAGTAAGTAAGTAAGTAAGTAGGTAAGTAGCAGAGTGCCCTTGGACATGGGCAAAGGGTACTCTGTCAACTATGTTGTTATTTCATGCTCCTCTTTGTTTATATGCCACCTTTCAGCCCAAAAAAGTCTCCCTGCACCTGCTGTGGCTCAAAGAATAAATGCAGAAAGGCAAATGCAAACAATACAAATGATAAAAATTTGAAACAAAACAACAAAACTGAAACTGACCCATTCACTCATCCCCATTCAAAGAGAGGCCAACTCTTTAAGAACAGCTAGTCAATAATATCTTCACAGGATATTACTGAAACAGTGCCTCATGTGCTTCTAGCTTGCACTCTTTATAAAGATATGAGGGGTGACGTTATTACCCCTCTACTACTATCCATACCAGGTCACTCATCCATTGCTACTGTGTCCTTTCTTCTAGCAGATCAAGATAACAAGGTGACAGCAAAAACTGCAAAAAAATTTTAGCAGGGGCAATTAGAATAAGAACTATTGTTTGATTATTGATTTAAACCTCCAGGATATATTTTGTAGAGTTAAGTTTTTAGCTCTATCTTCAGTACATTGTATTTTATTTTATTGCTTTGGCTAGTGGCTGATGAAAATAAAGATTCTTCTGATTCTGATTCTTCACGGGAAAGACATTATAATGGATTCTCCACACCCCCCATCCTCTAAGGATTCTGGGAAATCCCATGACATTTTCTAAAAATTGAAAAATATCAACATGAGTCCACCTTTACATGACAGACACGCCTCCCACAAGAAATCCCACATCAAGGGTAACCTACGAGGTGTCTTCCAGCTGCTTTAGACCACAACTGGCATCATGGCCCAATGGACTCCAGTCTCGTTCAGCATGGCCTTAGAGGAAGTGGCCATTGATCCATCTAGCTCAGTATTGTTTACACTGACTGGCAGGGTCTCTCCAGAGTTTCAGGCAGGGGATTTCCCCCAGTCCTAACCTGGACATGGAAACTGAATGCAAAGCAGATACTCTACCACTGGTCTTTTCCCCTATAGTGCTGGGGCTGGTGGGAGCTGTAGTCCAAATTATCTGGAAGGCACCAGGTTGGGGAAGGTTTCCCTAGATTTCCCCCTGGTTTCATGCAGGCTCCTTTCCTGACTGCTTCCATTCCTCCACCGTGAAGCATCCAAGGCTAGAGTGCATTAAACTGCCACAGTAGCTTAACTCCAATGTGAACATGAATACGCGCAAGATTTAAGCAGGCTGTATTTTATTGAGGGGCTATCTTGGCAAGCGGCGTACATCACTTAGATGGCAACGTGCCGGGCCGCCAGTTTGCAAACAGGAAAGAGCTGCCGAGCTCACATGCAGCTCTGGAACCAAGGAAGCAGATATCAAAACACTGCACTGCTGCATTGCAGGCAGAGAAAGGCACCTGGGAGCAGTGGCTGGAGCATTCAGATGCTGGGGTGCAAGCCACTTTGATTCAGGACAGAAGGGACAGACATTGCACAAGCACATGTAACCATCAATGAACAACCCATCAAATCCAACACAGCTTTGTTTGGTCCTTATTCGCCAGGTAACTTTCTGGTTACCTGTCGTAGGAAACTGGTCTCTGCTGTCTCAGGTCAATGGTCTATCTAGATCAGACTGGCTGGCTGCAGCTGTTTGGGGTTCCAGGTGGGACCCTTTCCTAGCCCTACTTGGAGATGCTCAGGATCAAACCTGAGACCTTCTGCATGTAAAACAACTGTCCAACCAGTCAAGAATATGTAGGAAACTGCTTTGTATCGAGTCATTGGCTTATCTACCTCAGTGCTGTCCATTGGCAAAGGCACTCCCAGATGTCAGGGCCAAATGTTACACAATTCACACTTCCCAAAGGAAGAGCAATAATAAGCTGTGAGGTCCCAAGTCAGAATTTGCTCCTGATCTGGATTGTGCCCCCTGTTCAGTTTCCTGATGAAAGCTCCTCCCGCTCTAGTTGCTGTTTGCACTTGAAGGTGCAAGTCTTGAGTTGCTGGACTCTTGCTGTTTTTCAGCCCAAAGGAGTTTATTCACAGATATGTTTTGGGATCTCAAGTGTTTGTTCTGAGTTCAAATCTCATCTCAGTTCTGAACTTTCTCAGGAGGCCTTAGGCAAACTGCAGTATCTCAGCCCTTGTTCCCCATCTGCAGTTTGGGGATAATAATCCTGGTCTATTTTAATGCGCACAACCCTAGAGTCTGTCAAGACTGGCCCGTACGGGCAGGGGTACCTTTACCTTTGGGATGTGGGTGGCGCTGTGGGTAAAAGCCTCAGCACCTAGGACTTGCTGATCGAAAGGTCAGCGGTTCGAATCCCCGCGGCGGGGTGCGCTCCCGTCGCTCGGTCCCAGCGTCTGCCAACCTAGCAGTTCGAAAGCACTCCCGGGTGCAAGTAGATAAATAGGGACCGCTTACCAGCGGGAAGGTAAACGGTGTTCTGTGTGCTGCGCTGGCTCGCCAGATGCAGCTTGTCACGCTGGCCACGTGACCCGGAAGTGTCTGCGGACAGCGCTGGCTCCCGGCCTCTAGAGTGAGATGAGCGCACAACCCTAGAGTCTGTTAAGACTGGCCCGTACTGGCCCGTACTGGCCCGTACTGGCCTGTACTGGCCCATACTGGCCCGTACCTTTACCTTTACCTTTATTTTAATGGGATTATCAACAGAGAAGTGCTTTCAGGTGTCTAAATACTATTGTCACTGCAGCCTCTCCACTAGAGGATGCACTTGTACCAGCCTGTTCAGATTCTGCTATCTACAGATTCATGAAAGTGCCCCTTCCAGTCATTGACATGTTGCAGCCAGCCAATAGCAGTCAAGCAGTGCGTGGAACACAGCCAGTGAGGTGTGTGACCTGGGGTGGGCTTAGGTGGGCATAGCTTTGGGACAGTCCATGAAGACCAGGTACAGACACCTGGAGGGTTCCTTGCCCCTGGCCTAGAGGCTGTTGACCTGATCTGAGTGAACCAGCTCACAAAGATGCTTTTCTTAAAGGTAAAGGGACCCCTGACCGTTAGGTCCAGTTGTGGCTGACTCTGGGGTTGCGGCGCTCATCTCGCTTTATCGGCTGAGGGAGCCGGCATACAGCTTCCAGGTCATGTGGGCAGCATGACTAAGCCGCTTGTGGTGAACCAGAGCAGTGCACGGAAACACCATTTACCTTCCCGCAGGAGCGGTACCTATTTATCTACTTGCACTTTGACGTGCTTTCGAACTGCTAGGGTGGCAGGAGCTTTCCTTAGATGGTGCTTTTTCCAAGGCTGATGCTTCTTACCCTAGCCTGGGCAAATGCTAGAATCCATGCAGCTTCCCGCAGGCAAAAGAGAAAGTGAGGGGAAATTCTCTCCCTGCTGTATGCAAGGGGGAGGGAGGAGGGAGGCCTTGCTGTTTCTGCCTGGCCTCCTTCAGTATCGATTCCCTTTAATTGGGTCCAGAATGTTTAACTGCTCCCTGGTCAATCATCGGCAACTTCAGCTTTCCAGAAAGGAGGAGGAAGATGCAGCCTCTCGATTAAAAAAAACAAACACAAACCAGCCAGATCCAAGAATCTTGATTGTGTGTGTGTGAAAGTGATAGACTGCCACTTAGCATCTGCAATGCAAACGGTTTGGCAGGCAGGGCAATAGCCTTTTCTAATTAATCCAAAGCCACGCTGCAATTGCAAGCTAGGGCATAGTTTACATTGTTAGGGAGCACAGATGAGTCAAGGTGGGGCACCCTGCATTGAAGGGGGGGGGGGTGGCACAGCAAGGAAGTAAATGTCCAGGTGTGGAATTCAATGTAGTGCTAAGGAGATCAATGTGTCCCCTCCCCTCCTCTTGTGCGCTGTTCTGGGGGTTCTCCCGACCCTCCAGAGAGGATTTGTGTGTGTGAGTGTGTGTGCACAGAAATAAGGGAAATTTCTTTATTAATAATGGAATACAGATTACTTAATGTAAGAGGATGGTAGAAACCACAAAGAGTTAGAGGGAAATCAAAATAACATACAAGGGATGCAAACCAGTCTAGGAGAACAGAAAGAACATGACTGTAAAGGAAAAATGAGAGGAGAGTGGAAATATGAAGACAACTTCTTTCTACAAACCTAATGTATCGACTATATAAAGTATGGTTTGTACTCCTTAAATGAATTTATATATAATATAAATATATTAATTTTTTTCTCTTCTTTCTTTTCCTTCCTTTTTCTTCCCCCCTTTCCTTTCCTTTTCTTTTCCTTTTTTATTTCATGTTTTATTTGTTAGATTTTCTCTTTGTAATGAATTTGGATTATTATTGTTGATTGTTTTTTATTTGCAAAATAAATAAAGCATTTAAAAAAGAAAAAAAAGAAAAAGAAGAGAGACCAAAGCCCTTTTGTTCAGTCCTTGCACTGGTTTCTACCAGTGGAATGGCGTAGTTGAACACAACGGGTGGTATCCAGCCAAGTGCTGCTCAGAGTAATGAAACTAACTTAGCACATTGGCTCTGCTATCATCTGCCAGGCCTCCTTATCCAGTCATCTCCTTAGGCTGAGCAAGCTGAAGAGTTCCAGGCTCTGTCTGTGCCATACATTTTACACACTATGATACCGCTTTAAACTGTGGGCTTAGGAGACACCTATTCCCCTCAGAGACCTACAATTCTCATACTAGTTTAACAATCAATCATTCTTCCCAGGGAACTCTGGGAAGTAATAGCTCTGTGTGGGGAATAGGAGTTTCCTGATGAGACTCTCAGGGCACTTAATAAACTACAGTTCCCAGGATTATTTAGGGGAAGCCATGACTGTGGTACAATACTGCCCCATCACCAGCAATGAAGAAAGATTTAAGTGCTAAACCAGTTGGCTTCTGTGTGTGGAAAGCGGGAAGACTACCCTATTGCAGTGGTGGTGAACCTCAGAGTCCTCTCTGTGGGCATGTGCGCCCTCGCGCCATCGCCCCAGCACAGAGTTCGCCAGCGTTTGTTACTAGAAAGCCAGGAATCGAGGCTCACCGTCGTGACGCAGACACAGGGATAGATTTGTATTGGGGGCTTCATTTTTTATTTTAAAAAATGTTGTGTTTTTCTAGACTCCAAGTCTGGAACACCCAAAAATGAACATGGCAAAACGAAGAGGAGGAGGAGGAGGAGGAGGAGGAGGAGGAGGAGGAGGAGGAGGAAGAAGAAGAAGAAGAAGAAGAAGAAGAAGAGTGGAAGATCATTCCAAGAGTCATTTGGAGTGATTGAACGCAATGGGAAAACGTTATGTCTTCTGTGCAATGAAAGTGTTGTGTGTCGCACATCAAGTGTCAGACGGCACTTTGACACCAACCACAAAAGTGTTGCCCAACTTGGTGAAACTGAAAGAAAAGAGTTTCTTGAAGGGAAATTGAGGGAATATCATTCCTATTATCTGAGTTTTTGCAACTATCTTTCTAGAACAAATCATCTGACAGCTGCCAGTTTTCAAATTTCACTGTGCATAGCAAAACATGGTAAGCCCCACTCTGATGGGGATATTATCAAAATGGTCATGTTGTCTGGGAGTAATTCCCTTTTTCATGATTTCCCAAACAAGGATAAAATTATTCAACGCGTCTCTACACTTCAATGTACTGAGCAAACAACTATAAAATGTAGGGAAAATGGCAGCAAGGATGTTTTGTGATATCAAAACATTTGAGAGAAGACTGCAGGTTTTTGAAAGAGACCTTGAAAGTGGGCAGCTGAAATATTTTCCAACTCTAAAAATGCATTTTGCAAATTCTACAACATTTGTAAACAATCCTACAAGCCATTGGGAAATCTACAAGGAATTTCCTAGCATTGTAGCAGTTGTTTTTTCTAAACTAAAACCTCAGTATTCGGGTTAAATTGTCGTGTTGGCACTTGGCGATAAATAAGCAGGTTTGGGATGGCAGTTTGGGCACTTGGTCTCTAAAAGGTTTGCCATCACTGCCCTATTGTATTTTACCTCAGATGGCAAAATGAGTGGAGGCTTCCCCACTTTGATGAGATGAACTGTGTTTCTATTTCAATTATGGTAATTATTTATAAGTGTAGATCTATTGGGAAAGCCCCCCTCCCATTTGTCTCTACGGCAACAGAACAATTTCTTTGGAAATGCTAAATGGCGGTACTTAACTAGCCAGCCAAAGCCATTACCTTGACAAAGGAACTGGTTTGGCAAACTTCCCCGTTATACATTCAACCTTCACAGCTAAAGGATTGCAGATTTGGAAGGGGACTTATGGTTTCATCCAGACTGTCCCCCCACAACAGGGATGGCTGAAAACATTTTGGCCCCAGAGGTGAAACACAAAATGCCTCACCTTGCCTTATGTTTGGGCCCAATAATAATGTGTGTGTGTGTGTGTGTGTGTGTACACACACACACACACACACAATTTATCCAAGTACAGTGGTACCTTGGGTTACATACGCTTCAGGTTACAGACCCTGCTAACCCAGAAATAGTACCTCGGGTTAAAAACTTTGCTTGAGGATGACAACAGAAATCGCACGGCGGCGCGGCAGCAATGGGAGGCCCCCTTAGCTAAAGTGGTGCTTCAGGTTAAGAACTGTTTCAGGTTAAGAACAGACCTCTGGAATGAATTAAGTACATAACCAGAGGTACCACTGTATAAGCATTTTTGTACATGGTTAGAAAACTGCTTTGCAAAATATGGAGAAGTGTGAATTTGGAGGCTGACTGTGTCGTACATGTAGAGTTTGGGAAAGTGTGAATTAGGTAAGTTTGCCTTTAAATGCAGATTGAACCACCCCCACCCCCCATTCCTAGTTCTTATACATGTAAATGAGCATATGCACACTTTATAGAAATAGGCACCCTCTTTCATGGTGATGCATTTTCCTTCCTTCCTTCCTTCCTTCCTTCCTTCCTTCCTTCCTTCCTTCCTTCCTTCCTTCTGTGAATGTGCAGGCTGCCCTTCAGAAAAGTCTTGCCTTGGCAAATACTTCCACTGGACAGAAGGAGCATTTGCAGTCCATCAAGGACTGTACGGTTCTGATGCATGTTGAAGTTCATTCCCTGCACACTGAGGCCTGGATATTTCTTCCAGGGCAAGTATGACTGCAGCAAACAGGTGGACACTAGGCATGTTTAGTTGATCATGAATGAGTCACTTGTGCACATTTAAGGAAGGGATGTAGTTCAGTGGTAGAACATCTGCTTTGAATGCAGAAGGTTCCAGCTTCCGGGTTAGCGCCATCGCCGAATGGCGGACTCCCTCCGAGCTCCGGAGGGAGTCTGCTCGGCAGGGGCTGGGTCCTACCGCGCCGGCGACGCGGGGACCCTTAAAAACCACGGGCACGGAGTCCGTGGACATGGGTGACTCGGCTTGCACCATTAGCGCCCTCCCGACTCGTGAAGGAGCCTTTTTAAAGGCTTCGGATCGGAGTGCCGGGGAGTGGCGTGGTGCTTGAGTCCACTGCTTTCCCTGCCGAGCGCAGCCGCATGCCATTCGACGGAGAGCGCTGACTTCTTCTATTGAAAATTTGGACTATTAACAACAACCCGTGAGTAATTGGGAAACCGGGTTCAAAATTTTGGATTTGGCACGAGCGGGGCGATTTAAAAGGAAGTCAATCCCCCTATTGTAAGCATTCCAAAACAAGGACTGGGTAACCAAGGTCCAAAGGGAAGTATGTCTCTGATAAAAATCATTAATTTCACGATGGGAAATTATAAGAAATGTGCTGGAGGAGAAGAGTGGAGGGTGAGAAGAAAAATGCAACCCCCTGGGAACCGGGGCGATTCGTGGAGCCTGGTGAAGAGAGACGGAGACTTTGACAGCTGTCAAAGTGGCTGTCAAAGCTGGAGAATATAAAGAGGACTTTATGAGGACCTTGCTGGTAAATTTTGCTACAATTTGCTATAATATGGATATAAACTGTTGGAAAATAAGCAACAATTTGACTTTTGGATTAGAGGATACAAAGTTATTACAATCCCCTAGAGGGGTTTCAGGATACTACAAGAACGGTCGTAAGTGGAAAAATACCCTGGGATTCGCACAGGATTTGTTATCTTCTGGGAAAGCTGCAAAACTGAAAGAGTATTTTGTCTACAGAGGAAGACAATGGATTTTTTATTGAAGAAAGAAAGGGACTGGACGTAAGTTTTTGTTCCTGAATAACAAACCTCTGCAGAGACACTAGATTTCTGAATTAGAAAGTTTTAGCAGCTGAACAGGACAAGAAACCTGAGAAAGTGAGGAATAAGAAGAATAAAGGACTGATTACGACACGGAAAGAACAACGGGAGGAGTGGTAAAGATCAAGGAAATTAAAGGCCTTTGTTAGATTGGACATTTGAAGTCAAATATTATTTAAATTAATAAACTAAAGAAAACCGGCAAGATGGAATCGGGGAGAAATCTGGTCATGAAATGAGACTTCCAAGCTGATAATGTATAGACTGATGGACATGGGGAATTCAAACCGGGGAAGGGGGGGGGGGAGATTTGAAATCCAAAGGCTGTGTAACCATTTTTGGAATTTTACTATATCTCTTATTTTCTATTTCTTTACATAACTTACGCATGTTATTTTACTTTGATCGGACGTGTTTAAAAAAAGGGAATTTGTGGAAGGAACTGGGGTGGATCTTGGGGAAAATCTTTTTTCTTTTTCTGTTAATGATGTGGGACGGTGGTAAGATTTGTACAATTCAATTTGGATAGTGGGTTAAACAAATTAAGCTTTAAATTTGGGAGTGAGAGCTTGTAGAACCAAATTAAGGAAAGGGGAATACAATTGGGGGGGGGGGAGTTCCAGAAAGTAGGGAATGAAAGTAAGGTTTTTAAATATCTTCTTTCTTTTGTCTTTTTTCTTTGTACTTTTATATTTTTGGAAACTTTAATAAATATGATTTAAAAAAAAAAAAAATGAATGCAGAAGGTTCCAGGTTCAATCCATAGTGGCATCTCCAGGTAGGACTGGGAGAGAGACCCTTGTCTGAAACCCTGGAGAGGCCCTGCCAGTCAGTGTAGCAAATGCTGAACTAGAGGGACCAATGGCCTGACTAGGTATCAGGCAGCTTTCTGTTTTCCACGAGAGAGATGGGAATGGATCCAGGAATTATCACTTGAAGGAGAGATGTTTCATCTGATTTCATAGTTTGGCAGAGGCGTCTTGCGGAAACTGCGGGAGGTGGGGGGAAGAAGGGGGGAAACCGCCAAAAATAAAGGTAGCAATAAAGCCTCATGCTCATTAATTACTCGGTAAGCCATTACTGCCTCAAAATCCCATAACTTTAATGGAGGCTATTATAAAGTATAGCAGCAAAATTGCGAAACTAATTACTGTGCAGTTAGTACAGGGAAAGGAACGGGGATACTTGCCTTGAAAGGGGAGCTGAACCAAAGTATACAATAATAACTTTTCTGCCTGGCTTCATTCTTGCCTCCCAGCAGGTGGAAGAGGACAGCTACTCATTCCCTTCTCGTATGTGAATAGCTGCCATTCCGTTCTATGGGGGAAAGTTATGGTATTCATTTTTCAAACTGCATTTATGGTGACCGGTGAACCCTCCTTCCTGTGTTACAGGGGAGTAGCTCAGAGTTGGTCTACCTATACCACAGAATGAGGTGTACAAAGGGATGGCTGTGTATGAATCACCAAAACAGAGGACACCAAGTTGCATATGTTAACAGATTGATGCAAATATAGAAACAATGGGCTGTATGCAAACTTCTCAAGGAGTCTTGCGTTAGTAGATGGGTGAGTTTTAATGTACAATGCAACAGGAATCCAACACAACAGATGCACAGAAGATTGTGCAACAAAGTTATCAGCCACCTGCTTGTGCAATCTTTTGTGCAACAATGTTTTGCTAGTGCAAAATATTTCACCACCAGAACAAGTATACCGTTAAGTGACTTTAACTTAGGCTGGATCTACACACAGGAAAAAAACATGTTGCAAATAAGGCATAAATTAAATTGTTATAGCAAAAGGAAAAAAACCTCTATGTAAAATCGCACAAAGTTTTGTGCCCTATAGCTCCATCTGGTGTCACATGTTTATAACACAGTTAGAATGATATAAGTGACTGTGTAACTGATTCCTTAGAGTTATGTTGGATACAACCTCAGGCTGAAATTTATAGCTCTACCTAGTAAATCTTTTAATATCATCTATCTATATCATCTATCTATCTATCTATCTATCTATCTATCTATCTATCTATCTATATCTATCTATCTATCTATCTATCTATCTATCTATCTATCACCTATCTATCTATCTATCATCTATCTATCTATCTATCTATCTATCTATCTATCTATCTATCTATCATCTATCTATCATCATCTATCTATCTATATCTAGCTATCTATCATCTATCTATCTCTATCTACTCTATTAAAAGATAAGAATATCATCATGCAGATTTATAGTGGACATCAGTTTGCTGCCCAGGCGCTAGCTGAGCAATATCAAGGTTCCCTCTGCTATTCCTCCCTAGAGTTCTTTATCTTTGAACTGTACTTGGACTGGGCAACCCTTCAAATAGAGGGTTTCCTCTGTCACACAGGACACATGACCACCCTTTCACACTGACTTTAGGCTACAGTTGGAAGCTAACATTTTCAAATGTTCCCATGTGGTAAAAAGAAACTCCATGCAAATAGAAAGGCAACACAGCAAACAAAGAGCTGTGAACCTTTTCTTGCAGGTGCAGTCATATTATCACATACACCTTTAGAGGAGGAGGGAGAGACTGCAAGACCACCAGGAAAGAGGCTTCCGTTCACTTTCGACTTTCCATTTGGTTCTTGTCTCAGCATCAAAAATATAAGGCTCAGTTTTTCAAACACCTAAAGGCAATCACCTAGCCCTCTCTGTCTGGGTTGGGAAGATATCTTACTTGGCCACCTCACATTATATTACCCCTCAATGCATAGAACAGGTATGTATGGTGAACCTGTGGTCCTACAGATGCTGTTGGACTTCAACTCCCGCCATCAATAGTCAGCACGGCCAGTGGTTGGAGATGATGGAAGTTGTGGCCCAGTGACTTCTGGAGAGCAGTGGTGTAGCATGCCCCAGGTGCAAAATTGTAAGGGGCGCAAAATTTCAACACTCTGTGCTGCCTCAATACAGTTGTGTGCTTCTGTCAATGGACTCTGTTGAAAATAGTTTCTCCATGTGAACCAGGAAGTAACCTCTCCAGACAATGGAACAACTATTCTTTTCTTATCTCTGTGGCTGTGAACTCCTAGGTGATGTGAATGCCATTAGGCAGGTGAATGCACATGCATACTCCATCCATTTCCCTCCCACCTACCCAGCTCCTCTGCATGGCCCTAGGCGTTGGCAACCCACGCTACACCACTGCTGAAGAGCTGCAGGTTAGTCCACCATGGCCTAGTTCTTCTGAATGCTTCCACCTTGTAGCAGCACATAGCATGAAGTGGAGCAGTCCTCCAGTTCTGACCCCCTCGTTTTCCTGGGCAGGCAGACCTTTAAGACTTGTGGAATATACATTGGCTATGCTGAGGAGAACTGGCTGAGGGAGGCTCTGTGGTATTGAGTGAGATAGCTCCATGCATCACAGCAAGATGTTATCCCTACCAGCTGATAAATAAATGGCAGAAAACGAGCAGGGTGGCAGGAAGGTTCAGTGTCAGCTCCTGATATCGCTGGGGATCAATGTGTCTAAGTGCGGACATGTCACATTATTCAGTCTTGGTCTTGGTCAGTAGAATCTGAAACTGGGTCTACCCAAGCAGTATGATGAAGCAGTAGAAAAGGTTACTGTATACCGCTTCAGAATAGGGACACAGGAGCTGCCTTATACCAAGTCATACCACTGGGTCCATCTAGGTCAGTATTGTCTGCCCTGACTGGCAGCAGTTCCAGGCAGGAGAACATTTCCACTGCTACCTGGAGATGTCGGGGATTGAACCTGGGACCTTCTGCACAGAAAGCAGCTTCTCTGCCACTGAGCTGCAGCCCTTCCTTTAAAAACAAAGCAAGACTCCAGCCCTCATGATTCTGAGTCAAGCAGTGATTTAAATAGGAACACAGGAAGTTGCCTTATACGGAATCAAATCGGTCCATCAAGCTCTGTATTGACTGGTATCTGTTCCCCCAGGTTTCAAATTGGGTTTCCCCTCCCTACCTTGAAGTGCTGGGGATTGAATTTGGGGTCTCCTGCATGGAAAGCATGCTGTAACCCCTGAGTTACGGCCCATCCCCTAAATAAGGGATGGTTAACATGTCCCAAGAATGGGGGTCACCTTCTAACAGAATGGCAAGCAGAGGGTGCAAGAGGATCAACAGAGTCTACACCCTGCTCAGGTCTGCTTCCCCTAATTTTGTCTCCCAGATGGCACTGCATTCTGTTCACTCTTCTCTGCCATCTTTCTAGTACTTCATTCTCCCTCCCAATCTCTTTTTCCCTCCTGGTCTACAAGTGGGAAGGCTGAAATCTCTGGAAGGGCCTAACTCCCTGCCCTCGCATCCATGCACCATACACTGAAGGTCCTATTATACTACTTTAATAGTCATGGGAAATCTTGGAAACTGTAGTTTGTTAAAAGTGCTGATGAGCTCACAGACCTACAATTCCCAACACCCTGCAAAACCTACAATTCCCAGAATTTACTGTGACTGTTAGTGCTTTCAATGTACTGTGTGGATGCGATCTGGGAATCTTACCCTCCTGGAGAAGCAGGATGTCTATGCCCTGCCCCCATCCCCACCTGCTGCCACCGCTGAAGCTTTCCTCAAACACTTTTCCGTAGGAGGTTGCTGTTAACAGTTGTCGTCATTTATTTTTAATTCTGGAGATTAAAAAGAAAGAAGAAGCAAGGAAAGCCCAACCCAACCAGCCCTCTCTTGGTCTATTTTAAACATTTATTAATAACTCGGCTGAATTAAAAATGTAAGGGATGTTAGTGAGAAAACAAGTATCAAGTGGCTGTAACCTGAAATCAGCCCCTCGCTTGAGGTTTGCTAAGATGGGATGCAGAACCAGGTGGATGTGTGAGACAGAGAGGCTGTAGCTCAGCCTTGCAAGGTTCCCAAGTTCAATACACAGAATCTCCAGGTAGAGCTGGGAGAGAACCATTGCCCAAACCCTCAGAGATATGCTGCCAGTCACTTTAGAATGTTTAGAATGATTTTAGAATGTTGTATTATTTTATTGTTGTTAGCTGCCCTGAGCCCGGCTTTGGCTGGGGAGGGCGGGATATAAATAAAATTTATTATTATTATTTTATTTAGACAAGCCAGAGCTTGATGCACCAGTGGTGTAGCTCAGATTAAGGCTCATTTTCTATGTTCCTACACTGGAAATGGAAGTGTGGGCCAGTTAAGTTGAAAATATTGGAGAAGGACTTCCATAAAGCACAACCCTTTGCAGAAGCGCTTTAAACTGACTTGAGCTGGACGCACCAATGGTCTCACATGCTGTAAGGCACATTCCTATGCTCCTGTGTTTTGAGTGGCAGAGGATCAGCTTTGCATGCACAAGGTCTGAGGTACAATCCTCAGCATCTGCAGGTAAGGCTGGTAGAGATATTGGATTGATGCTTTAGGTCAGTGTTCATTCAGGCAGATGGGTGGTGTGTGTGTGTGAGTGTGTAATTATTATTTTCCAGCTATTCTCTGAGATATTGTATTTCTGTTTACATTATCTTTCTGTTTATTGCTTTGAGTTAAAATGCATTATTATTATTAGGATTTTGCCGCAGATAAATAAATCCTTAAAGCGTTTCCCACCAGCTCCATTGGCAAGGCTCTGTGCTCTGAAGAAAGGGCACTAACCTTTAAATAATAATAATAATAATAATAATAATAATAATAATAATAATGGAACTGCTACTGATGAAGAGCAGGGCAAGCTGGATTCCTCCAAGCAGCCCAAGGCTAGGCAAACTGTGAACGAAAGTGATTGGAGCAGGTACAGGCACTTTGCCATAGCCCTATATGCTCTCGCAGTTGCAGAAATAAAAATACTCAGGGATGCATTCCAAGAATGCTGTCAAAGCAGGTGGTGGTGGTGGGTTGAACTTCTAAAAGGAGAAGGGCTAGAAATAAGCTTTTATTTGTTCCATTATTTGACACTTCCTTTAATACAAGGGTGGTAGTGGGGGGCACATTTCCCCCCCTAAGGGCTATATTCTCTTTGGAGCGATCTTCCAGGGGCCGCAGGCTAGTGGTCCAGAGGCAAAAATAGGTGGAGCAGTGGATGTAAATGTTGGATGTGCCTAGTTCTACACACACTCAACACGCCGCTATGTATCCTCTATCCGGGTAAGGAAGAGGCATTGACAGAGTTCAGAGTTCCAGCCAGGCACAAACACTCAAGGAGACTGTGAAGCAGGGCTGGTGAGGGGCATAGCCTGGGGTGAGCCCCAAGGGCCAGACAGAGGCTTGGAGCATCACAACCAACTTCTTGGCCTGACGTTCCCCATCCCTGCTACAATATCCAAAAGGGCAGTGTAGGTTGCAGTTCTAAGGCTGGCAGCGGGAAATCTGAAAGAGGTTCAACCACCATACTCCACAGGGCAGAAGTGAGGGCAGAGGAATGATCTTCCATTCCAGTTCCTGTTCTCTTCAAGCTTCCTGTTGCATATCCTCACAGCTCCTCGGTGTCCCTCCATCCCTGCTTTATTCAAACCTCTGCTATTGTACCACCTTTGTAAAACATGGTTACTCTGTTGTTCCCCTCCCCAGCCATGGCTTCATGCAAATCCAGGAATCTGGTGAGGGACTACAAATCCTCCAGTTGGGGCCACATGAGGACAGCTTTACTTTCTAATGTATATAAGAATAAAAAGTATTACTATCAATGCTTTACTTCCCATTGAAAACCATGGGAGAGAAAGGGGAAGGGGAATTTAGATACACTCAGAAACATGTCTAGCTTTCTCCCCAGTTTGGGGCATATCATGGAAGTGGGATGGCATTGGATCCATGTTGCTTCCTGTTTTGGGCATATCCACAGCATGTCCCCATTTTTTGTGATGTAAAATCTAATCTCCCCTCAAAGAAATAAGAATGAATTCAGAATCAAGAGCCCAAATCATCTAACCTGCCTGCAGACTTTGTGCAAAACAAATCATACCAATTGCTCAATAAATAGCTCGCCTATAACAGGTATCTTCAGCCTATTCAGACCCTGAAGTCCAGTGATCTAGAGGAGGGCTGGGTGAACCTGTTTATCTTAAGTTCCGTTCTCCACAGTTCTACTCCAGTTTGTGATTTATTTATTTTTTTAAAAAAAAGTTCTCTTGAAAATTCACCAGCATTTCAGTGGGAATTTTTCACAATATTTTTCTATGCAATTTTGTTTAAGGTGCACATTTCTGCAACATTTCCCCCCCCCAACTATAAAGCATTTTAATATGTTAGTTTCACAAACTATATGCATTTTCTTGCATGCCTTAACCTAGCATGTGCATTTTTGTACACATTACTTGGCTGGAGAACTACTTGGTTGGAGAATTGCATCACAAGATTCAGAGAAGTGCAAATTTTGAAAGAAGGCTGTCTTTTAATTCACAAAAGTGTGAATTAGGCCAGTTTGCCTTTAAATGCAAACTGATTCAAGAATCCCTACTTTGGAAACACTCTGATGCTTATTGGACACAGCTTGCTTCTGAGTAGACATAAACAGGCTTTCACTGTTAGCCTGGATCTAACCCATTTTGTTCAATACTACTGTTAAAGGGAAAGTGCCCCTAGCCAGATCCCCACTTGGATAAGAATTTCCCTCTTCTGATAAGCTTTTACTGTGCACTGAACAAGTTGCTCCTAATTGGAAATTGCTGCGTATTCAATCACAATTCATAGTTTTCACAGGATGACTTTGGAAATTGCAGATATTAATACCGGCAGTCAGGTATTTGGTAGCACAGAGGAGCTGTAGTAATTAATTGTGCACTGGCATAATGAGTTATGAAGGATAAATTGCCCATTCATAAAGCAACGCATTCCAATTGGGATCTTTGTGGGCATTATAATATATTGGCAGCAAAATTCACAGCTCTGTAAATTCACAAACATTGTCAAGTTGAAAGAGCACTTGATTCTATATGACCATGAGACCCTGTGGGATGGATATGAGAAAATCAACAAAGAGAAGTTGTCCTTGCTAAATTTCAACCTATTGTTAAAGGCACAGGAGCCTTGCCAGGAACAAAATGTGGCAACCCCAAGATTAGGACCGAGTAATGTGAGTGCTCTGCACATGGTCAGGTTCTTTTTTTCCTTTCAGCCCACATTGTGCTGCCTACATGGGACTTGTTATCTCTGAGTATGTCAATGCATTACTTGCAATACAAAGCGGAAGTGGTGTGAAAAATCACTTCTGTTTGTGGCGAGCGATTCCACTGAGCTGTCCTCCATACGCACAATGCAGTGCGGTCTGATGCCACATGAATCAGCCCTAATAGCCCATTCGCACAGCCCTTTGTGCGAGTAGAAATGTGACTTTATGGATTGTATGTGTGGAGAAATGGTTGACGGTTTAACGGCTTGCGCAGGTCAGCCCATGTCAAGAGACATTTGTGAGTGGATTGACAATTTGAGACAATTTGAGTGCATGATGGGCAATCAATATAAATCAACTCTACTACAAGCTTCTGTTGCAGAAGTCAACCAACATGATACTGGGGTGTGTGCGCAATGGCACCCTTGAGGTCATTCCTGGCACCAACAAAGCCTCTGAGCTCTCCAACTCACTGTCCCTTAACCATGAGGTGGTGAGTGTGGTTGCCCCTTTCTCCTTGGAAAAAGACATAGAGATGAAGAAGGAAGCTGGAAGAGTGTCTCTCCTTTTCACTTCCTCTTTTATCTCTATGTTCTTTCTGAGGCTCAGATTGATTTGACTGGCTCGAACCTTTACCCAGATCTCTTTGGGTAAAAAGTATACATGCACACTCTTTCTGTCTCTCTGGCAGATTTATACATGCCTACTCTCAACTTCCGTGATGCTCAGCTAAAACACTGGCTATTTAACCCATGTATCCATTTGCTTATGAGAGTTAGGCTTCGCTCCTGGGCCTTTCTCCTTCAAACAAGGGGATGATGCACTTGAGGAGGAGATTGTAATGAGGTTTGAAAGACCCTGGAGGAAGGAGACACTTGCTCAACACCAGCCAGAGCAGAACATCCGTTCCCCTGCCCCGCTCACAAGTACTATCTGCCCACCCTGCTTAATTACTGGGGGGAAAATAGGAGAGTGTCAGATGTGTGATCTGCTAATGGGGCTCAGGGAGGACAATTGATTATTTCATGCTGTGGTAGGAAGGGGGGGCGGGGCGGCAGGCAGGAAGGAAGGAAACAGCTCAACAATAATTTATCGTCTTTCTCTGCAATCAATCTCAGCACAATCATCTTCTAGTCTATTACTGCAGACCCCTTTCTCACATGCTCGATGTGGGCAGCTATTGTTCTGCATGCCCCACGGAATGAGACAGGTAAGCAAGGTGAAGTGATGTTGGAAGAGTCTGCAGTTTTCTGAATAGCAAAGACCGTGGCTCCATCTAGTTTGGTATCGTCCACACTGTAGTGGATCTGCAGGGTTTAAGCAAGGGGATGTTCCCAGCTCTACCTGAAGATGCCACTGGGGACTGAACCTGAGATATGCATGCAAAGCAGATTCTCTGCCCCTGAGTTATGGTCCTTGAATTAGGCGAGTCTGCATTCAAATTCAACCGGATGGAATTTCTCCCCCATCACTAGTAAGGGTTATCTGGGTTATCCTGCCTGTGACTTCATCTTTCCCTCTAGCACACACTGCTCTAGGAGCCATAAGAGGAACAAAAGTCCCAAACAGGCAGTAGATTCAACAAATTAACATCAGCTCTGCAGGGGAGAAATAAAGAGGAAACAAGGCAATTGCATGAAGATTCAAATTAAGCACACACACACAAAAACAAACAAACAAACAAAGGACACACATCTAGGATGGTGCATTCACAATTCCTAGGACAAATAGTAAAAATAATAATAATTGATATGATCGGCGGGGAGGTAGCAACATGTCCTTTAGAATCATAGAATTGTAGAGTTGGAAGGGACCACGAGGATCATCTAGTCCAACCCCAGCAATTCAGGGATCCTTTTGCCCAACGTGGGACTCGAACCCACAACCCCGAGATTAAGAGTCTCATGCATGCTCCACTGACTGAGCTATTGGTCATAAAAAGATTTGCCTTGTTTTATAAATATCCAGAAGTTGTCCTCAAAGTTTTCTGATATCCTTACTTGTTTGTTACTGAACTATGTGTTTTCTGTTTACTTATTTAACAGAATAAGTAAAGCAAAATATTAAAAATAAAGTTCTGAGTGGCAGGGGGTAGTAGAACATTGATTGGATGTGCATCTGACTTACCTAGTGGGCACTTTGAGCAACATGGAGCACAACTGGGACAGAAATGCAGTGGTATCTGGGGAGCCACTGTGAGAACAGACTGTTGGGCTAGCTGCCGGCAGCGGCCTTCACTCTATTATTTACAGCATCTGCTAAAGCATTCTTGTTTAGACAAGCCTGTCTATTTAGAACACTGATGCATGGTCTAATATGTTTTTAGGTTATTGAATGTTTTAAATTATTGTTATTTTATCTTTTAGTAAACTGCTTTAAGTGTCATCGTCCCCTGGCAATCAAACGGTGTATAAATTTATAAAATAAATGGACATTTGGCCTGATTGAGCATGGCTCTCCTTATATACTTATCTTATGTTCTTACTTTCTTGGGCTCCATGATCACTGCAGATGGTGACAGCAGCCACGAAATTAAAAGACGCCTGCTTCTTGGGAGAAAAGTGATGACAAACCTAGACAGCATCTTAAAAAGCAGAGACATCACCTTGCCGACAAAAGTCCGTATAGTTAAAGCTATGGTTTTCCCAGTAGTGATGTATGGAAGTGAGAGCTGGACCATAAAGAAGGCTGATTGGTGAAGAATTGATGCTTTTGAATTAACGGGGGTTGGAGAAGACTCTTGAGAGTCCCATGGACTGCAAGAAGATCAAACCTATCCATTCTTAAGGAAATCAGCCCTGAGTGCTCACTGGAAGGACAGATCCTGAAGCTGAGGCTCCAATACTTTGGCCACCTCATGAGAAGACTCCCTGGAAAAGACCCTGATGTTGGGAAAGATGGAGGGCACAAGGAGAAGGGGACGACAGAGGACGAGATGGTTGGACAGTGTTCTCAAAGCTACTAACATGAGTTTGACCAAACTGTGGGAGGCAGTGGAAGACAGAAGTGCCTGGCGTGCTGTGGTCCATGGGTTCATGAAGAGTTGGACATGACTAAACGACTAAACAACAACAACAACATGTTCTTATGATTCGTATTGAAGAGAGATCTCTGCTTTTCTGTGGGGAACATGGTGTACATTTAAACGGATTTCGGATGATAACGTGCACACACAATGTGCAAACAGAATTTGGCTCTAGGTTGCCAGAGTTACGCATCTGCTCCCTCAAGTTCCATATCCCAAATGCACTTATGCCTGTTTATGGGAAAGCAGGAATATCTGCAGAAATAAAGCAACAGCTTATTTGGATTTTTGCAAAATGCTGTCCTAACTGGAGATAGAGAACTGGACTCAACAGACCCTTGATTTGATCTGATTCTGCAAAAAAGTCCTGATAGGTCCCCCCCCCCCACTTTTTGTTCCTAAGGCAGGAGAGGTGCAAGGAAAGAATTCTGAATGCATCAGATGCAGAGACCATCCGACAGCACAGCTGATAGACGGCAATGAAGCAGATGAACTCCTGCAGGTTGCACAGGGCACATGCCAACGAGATGAGCCCTTGCAGGGAGCTGTAAATTACTGTAGACGAGTGGTGTGCATGTGTAGCTTTCTCTCCCCCTCCCCTTTTTTTCCTTTTGGTACGGTGCTGTAAGAATACTGTAATCATGCAGTAATTATGGCACATCTCAAATCAACCCAGCAAATTATATTGCTATTATTACAGCTGTCACTACGATTCTGGCACAGGAGAGGGACGGGTCATTACCTCGGCACGAAGACGCAGGGAGCACAATCTAGAGACTACAGCAGACTGAGGAAATGAACAGCACCCATCCCACCTCCCTAAAGGAAATTGAGGCTTTGTTTTCAAGCGGATAAGGGCATATTTAGAAAGGTTCTTCCTCTTGCTCCAGCGTTCCTTGCTCAGATTGCAGTTTCGAATACAGTATCTTTCTTTTGGGAACTTCCCCCACCCCTGCCCAGAAAAGCTGATGACAATGCTTTTAAAAAATAATAAAGTTAGTCATTCACTAATCTTTCTCATGCCCGTGCAACAAGTTTGCTGTTTCTCTCTTTCTCTGCTGCAACATTTTCCAGGGAAGTCGCTATGTAAAATTGCTGCAGTTTCTGTCACTTGTGGCTGAATTGAGACAAGGGGTTGTTGTTGTTTTTTTAAAAAAATATGTGTATGTAAGTTGCCTAGAGACATTCTATATTAAGTGACAAATAAATCACCATCATTATCACCCCCATCTAGCTATTAATTAGCTGACTAAGGCCAGGACGTTTGTGCTATCATAGAGATAGATGATAGCTAGATAGATAGATAGATAGATAGATAGATAGAGGTGTGTGTGTGTGTGAAGCTGCCTTATACTGAGTCAAACCATTGATCCATCTAGCTCAGTACTGTCTACACTGACTGGCAGCAGCTCTCTAGGGTTTCAAGCAGGGTTTTCTTCCATCCCTACCTGGACTCTAGTCCGTCACCCAGATGCCAGCCAAACTAGGCTCTGTGGACTGAAGGGGCTTTCAAATGCACATTATTGTCCTGAGTATTGTCAGCTGACCCCATCGTAGCCTCTTGCGAAACTAGGCCCCTGGGCTGGATGGCCAGGGAAGAAACTCTCCAACTAGTCAGCTAAGTTGAGAAGACTTTGGCTTAAAGAGGATGTTTTGCCCTGAAATAGAGTGTTGAGGTCCATTTGGAATTCCTCACTTAAGAGAAACATCTGAAGACTTTTAATGGGGCAAGAAAGTGTTCACAAAGGCAACTCTCTCCTGCCTGGTGCTTTGGTACTCTAACAATTCCCATCAGCCCCCCACCCCACACACAGCTAGCATGAACTGTGGTCAGGCATGATGGAAATTGTCGTCAAATAAAATTTGAAAGTCCCTTATTGTTGTTAGCCGCTTTGAGCCCCGCTTCAGCTGGGGAGGGCAGGATATAAATTATTATTATTATTATTATTATTATTATTATTATTATCCCATATAAAAGAACGAATGCAGGGGGTTGGACTAGATGACTCTTGGGGTCCCTTCCAACTCTACAATTCTACGATTCTATGAAGATTTTGTTACCAACAGGTAAAAATCAGCCTCTGTGGCTGGAATGAAGAAGCTATGGCCCTCCATGTGCCTTTGAACACCATTTCCCAGCAACTCTACCCCCCATCGCATAGTCAGTAGTGAGGGATGATGGGCAGGGATGCAAACTTGAATAAAAAATTGGGGGGCCCAAGAAAGCCCCGCCCCACATAATCGATCACATGATGCAGTGCACACACACTATTTGAACGGCAATGCCCATCAACTTTGAGGGCCCCTGGCCCCCTCAAATATTTTATTGGGGGGCTAAAGACCCCCGGCCCCTTGGAGTTGGCTCCTATGATGATGGGAGCTGAGGTCCAGCAATATCTGCGAGGGCATTACAATGCGTTAAGATGAGTGAGGCTTCTCAGGGATGGGCTCTGGGATCTGCCTGCCCCCCGCTTCCAGCTGCGGCTTGCCGAATTCTTTGCAAACCTCCACGAAACAGGGATGAGTCAGCCTGCACCATAAGTTATTAACTGCAGCAGACGGTGTCTCTTCCCATTAGAGCGCCGTCGCGCGAGGAAACTGGCCGAGACAAGAAAGGGGCTGACGGGCGGAGCGCGAGCAGAGAGCAGCGCGTGGAGCGGAGATGAAAAATAATGTTGGCAGTGTTATTAAAAGATAAATTGGTGGGGGAAGATGGGCTGAAGGCTTTAGAATGTTGTAACAAATCCGCGACCACCTAGGGCTTTGAGACTGTCAGGACGCGGCAGAGAAAGAGAGGATGAATCAACAGGGCTGGAAAACACCATCACACCAAATATGTATACCTGGCTAGGTGGGAAATTAGGAAAGCCCATTAGTTATGGGCATATGAAACTGCCTTAGGCTGAGTCAGATGATCGTTCCCCTCTAGCCCAATGCTGGCGGCAAATTTCCAGGATGTCAAGAAGGAAAACAGGAAGCTGCCTTATACTGAGTTAGACGGCTGGTCCATCTAGTTCAATATTTTCAGCACTGAATGGCAGCAGGCTGCAGCCCTCTGGGATATCAGGCAGGGGTTTCCCCTAGTTGTTATGTACCAAGTTGAATAGGATCCAAAAGGCAGCAGTCTGATTGGTCCTAGAACAATAGGATTCAGAATGCAGCAGTCTGATTAGTCCTAAAACAATAGGATTCAGAATGCAGCAGTCTGATTGGTCCACAGGAGCCACCCAATCCAGCTCCAGGTGGAAGGGAATCTGCAACCTGATTGGCCTACAGGAGAATCCCAGAATTAGCCAATCACGTGGGGCCCATTGTGTAAATAATGTATATAAGGCAGGAGGTAAATTGTCAGATCAAAAAGACAAGTGGCAACTAAGGGGGTGTCTAGTACATCCAGGTTGTGCAGGATAAGTCAAGATGGGCCACCATGTAATTCCATATTTGTCAGATTTTATCAGTGCTCTGCTAAGCTTGCTTTGTTGGGTCAGTTTTTCTCATAACACCAAATTCTTAACTGTGCCCCACCGTTCCTCCACAGAGAATGCAGAATTATATTCCTAATGGTGAGCTATTTCCCTCTTAGCTGCTGCACAAAGGTTTAAAATCAAGTCTTGATGGGTTAAATGGTTCATGTTCCCTATGCTTTTAAATATGTTGTAAGCCACCCAGAGTGGCTGGGGGAAGCCAGCCAGATAGAAGAGGTAGAATTGTTGTTATTGTTGTTATTGTTGTTAAAGAGCAAAGCTAAAATGGAGTCAAGAGGAAGGATTTATGCCTGCTCTTTCTGAACGGGAACTATGGCGCACAGCTGCAGATAATAATGTTCAGGCAACTATTTTGTTCTGTTCGGATCTATGATTGAATGGGTTAGATGGGAATGGGGAACTTTTGACAATCCAGATATTGCTAGACTACAACTCCCATAGGACCTGACCTTTAACCTTTAACTGTGATTGATGGACATGTGGGATTTGGGAGTCCAGCAGCATCTAGAGCAGTGTTTCCCAACCCTGCTTCTCCAACTGTTTTTGGACTACAACTCCCATCATTCCTAGCGAGCAAGACCAACAGATGATGGGAATTGTAGCCAAAAACAGCTGGAGACCAAAGTTTGGGAAACACGGAAGAACAACCAGTTATCCTTGCCTAAGATCTTTTCAACTTGCAAGACCAGGGATTCAATCTGGGACCTTCTACATACAGAGTATGTTCCCTTTCATCGAAGTATTGGCCCTTTCATAACTTCCAGTCACCAGAGGAGAGGTGGATGAAGCAGTCTAAGCACATCCCATCCTATTTCCGCTTGTCCTCAGAGTTAAGACTGCATGAAATTGAGATTTAGATTTCTTTGATGAGGTGGTCTGAATGAAGGTTGCCGTCAGTTTTTCCTTTCTTTTTCTTTAATCCTTGCTTAAGGTGGCTAAAAAGTGGCTGGCAGCTGCGGCACATATTCCCTAATAACCTAAGTATGCAATAAGAGCCTGCTGGATCAGGCCAATGGGCCATCTAGTCTAGCATCCTGTTCTCACAGTGGCTGCCCAGATGACTGTGGAAAACCCTCAAGCAGGATTCGAACACAAGAGCCCTATCCCCTCCTGCCATTTCCAGCATCTGGTATTCAGAAGCATTGCTGCCTCCCACTGTGGAGGCAGAGCACAGCCATTGTAACAAGAGCTCTACCCCTCTGCCCCATCCCAGAATATTTGTGGTATTAAGCATTTCAGGATTTCAGGGGAAGCTATAGGACCTGCATTCATTGGAAATGAAGCTTTATGACCACCCTGAAGCCTTTGCACATGCAAAAAAACCATTGAAAGCAGAATCGTGTCTAACTGCCCCATTAGCATCCTGAGCACAAATCGCCATAAATATACAATGAAAAGGACACCCTTATTGACATCTGGGGGATCTAATCAGGCCTGCCAGTAACCATATTTTGCTACCAACTGGCAGGATTGGTTCCTCCGCTCCCCAAACCCAGGAAAGGAAAAACCACAATTGGCCCAAACACAGCAAGTCTCCTTGCAGCGCTGCAAAAGTTATGGCAGTCTTCATGCTGAAGTTGCTTTTGATGAGAAATAGATTCCCTGCCCTGCTCTGGTCAATTGACAGCACTTTCCTTGCTTAGTTTTTGATCTTAGTGGCTGATTTTATGGCTGCATTACTGCGAGAGACAAGAATTAATCACCTCAGCAAACCTCTCCCTTATCATTTGGTTAATGTGCTTGAATAACAGCCACAGAGGCTGGTTCTTCACATGTACCACAAACTCTGGCCTCTCTCTTGGCCTCCATTTCAAGTTTCCTCCCTTTCTCTTATGTGCAAGACAAGGGAGAGGTTGCAGAGGATCACAGCACAATGCGCACATTTGACGCACATTTAAAACACATAGCTTCCCTCAGATAATGCTGGGGACCATAGTTTACCCCTTACTGAGCTACCATTCTCAGCACCTTTAACAAACTACAGTTCCCAGTAGTGAATCATGCGTTCTCTCAGACGAACCTACCTCACCGGGTTCCTGTGAGGATTAAATGGGGAAGGGGGGAAAGTATGCCAGGACTGGCCATCATGGTGCACTCAGGGAAAGGCTCTCTCCTTGCCAAAGTTATGGGACAGAGTGACATCAGCAAGTAGACCAGCCACATCTCTCTGCTTTCTCCCTTATTTTGGGTCACATTCACCATACATTGAAAGTGCCATGATGCCAGTTGAAACAGCCATGGCTTCCCCAAAGAATTCTGGGATCTGTAGTTTGTTAAGGGTGCTGAGAGTTGTCAGAAGACCCCTGTTCCCCTCCCTGAGCTACAGTTCCCCTAGTGGATTAGCAATCAATCTCTCTTCACCATAAACTCTGTGTGGGGAGCAGTCACCTCCTAATACTGCTCAGCCCCCTTAACAAACTACAGCTTCCAGAATTCTTTGGGGTAAGCTATTACAATTGGTATCATGGTGCTTTAAAAGTACAGTGGTACCTCGGGATAAGAATTTAATTTGTTCCGGAAGTCCACTTTTAACCTGAAACTGTTCTTAACCTGAAGCACCACTTTAGCTAACGGGGCCTCCCGCTGCCGCTGTGCCGCCGCCGCACGATTTCTGTTCTCATCCTGAAGCAAAGTTCTTAACCCGAGGTACTGTTTCTGGGTTAGCGGAGTCTGTAACTTGAAGCGTATGTAACCCAAGGTACCACTGTATGGTGTGAATGAGGGCCTAAGTACCTGGAAACTCTGAGCTTCAGATGCCAAGCTGCATGTTTCAAATATTTTTCTCGCTTTAGTGGCATTTCACTGATAAATAATAAAATACTGGATTTGCAGACTGATCATATCAGATCATATCATATCAGAACTGCACCATTGCCTCTCTTCCTCATCAGTATAAGTTCCCTTTAGTTTCCTTGCCATATTTTGAGTAAATCAGAGAGAAAGTGGGGGGAAATCCCCAAGGGGTCACTCTGGACACCTCATCCCCAAAGGCCTCTGCACCCCTGTTTCTGAAGCTGCTGGATCCTTCTGTAGAGTGTGAGTTGAGTCACCTCCTGTATTCTTAGCCTTGGCTCCAACAGGGTCACCTGTCTTTTGAATAACTTAAGCTTTGTGATGGCTTCTTTTCAGCTTTGGGATTTGCCAGCGAAAAGCAGATGGGGGTGGGGAGAGGGCAAAGGAGAAGTCCTAAGATTTTAGCCAAAACACTGGAGTGCCAGGCTGGTATTTATAGCCCAGCCCTGGGCGAGGTAACGCAGGCGCAGTGCAGCTGTCACTTCTGGTTTTTCAGCAAGAGGCCGGAGAGTGTGCTGGCATTTGCTCAGCACATCTACCTCTGCACCATCCTCTGTCCATTGGCAAAGGGGCACACTGGGGAGCTCAAGAGATGCCGGGCAAGCACACCCCCCTTCACAATGCAGTTGCACAGATGCAACCAAGGAGCGTAACAGAAGCGTGTTGTTGCAAATGGGATCATCTTAATAGATGGTCCTGGTTGCGGGCAGGCTCTCAACCTGGTTGCCCCAAAACCTTAAACAAAATATCTGTGTCTGTGTGAATTTATTTATCCTAATGGGGGGTCGGCTTGAGGGTCTTGCCACGCAACCCTCCTCCCCTTGACAAAGAGTCCTGTGACATCCTAAAGACCAACACATTTATTGGGGCACAAGCAAAGGATGCCAAAGGAGAAAGGACTTCTTCACACAGTGCATGGATAAACTATGGAACTCATTCCTGCAGGAGAGAGTGGTGGTCACTAACCTGGATGGCTTTCAAAGAGGGTTAGACAAATTCATGGAGGTGCAGGCTCCACAATGGTGATACTGTGTCTCCACAGTCAGGGGCAGCTTCTGAATACTAGTTGCTGGAAACCACAGGAGGGGAGAATGTTCTTGTGCTTGAGGTTTTCCCTTGCATAAGATTTGCCTTTCTCAGAGCTGCCACACACTTGGCTGACATCTTCATCAAGCCATCCACTGTGATCCCGAGGTCTTAATCCATGTCAGTCACTGCCAGTTCAGACTCCATGAGCATATATATATGGCATTAAAATGTTTTGGGTCCCCCCCTCCCCAACATGTATCACTTTACACTGAATTTTGTATGCCGTTTTACACAGTTTGGAGATGCCTGTCTGGAGAGGGAGATGCTGAAGCACAGTTTCACTCCCCCTTTCCCTTTCCCCACATTCCAGGAAATGTAGGAGACTGTCAGCTTGACTGCTGTAGTTTGAAGACAGCGGATTGCCAGGCTCCCAGAAGAGAGCTGGACGACGTTTGATGCGAGAAGCAGAGAGCTCTGTGGATACCTGTTTATCTGCCAGGGTGGCTGGCCTATAATGGAGAAAGTTCCCCAATTAAAAACGTGAGGCAGCAAATTCCATTTTAAGACCTTCCAAAGGGCAGACCTATTAAACATTTATGGAGACGGTTCATTATGAGCCCATTCCTGATGACCAGATTCTACTTCACATCATTTGGTTGTGGGAGGGTGGCAGGAGGTGGAATAGAAGCCCAAACCTATCTCTGTTCAATATAACATTTAATCTTCCTTTTAAATTCCTAATAAATCGCAATGATAATATAAGCAGCAAAGTTGTCAGCGCTTGATCAAGCACCACAACATTCGCAGACGGACTGATACATTACTGTTAGATACAAAATGTTAATAGCCTGGCCATATTCTCAATTGAGGTGACATAGAATCATAGAATTGTAGAGTTGGAAGAGACCACGAGGGTCATCTAGTCCAACCCCCTGCAATGCAGGAATCTTTTGGCCAATGTGGGGCTCGAACCCATGGCCCTGAGATTAAGAATCTCATGCTCTAACGACTGAGCTAGCCCAGGTCCATATATTCGGCTATTGGCTAGAGGATCATGCTAAACATCTCATGTCTGCCTATGATGGAAGTCAGATTGCTCTGGAAGTTCCAAAACACACAGTGCCACCACCCCTCTCTCCATATCGTAGGATGTGTGTCAAAAATTGAGTGTAAGTTTAGACAAATTGGTAGAGTCACATGGGAAAGCTTAAAGTGCACTGTACCACTTTGGGCTGCTGTTCGTTGTTGTTTAGTCATTTAGTCGTGTCCGACTCTTTGTGACCCCATGGACCAGAGCACACCAGGCACTCCTGTCTTCCACTGCCTCCCGCAGTTTGGTCAGACTCACACTAGTAGCTTTGAGAACACTGTCCAACCATCTCATCCTCTGTCATCCCCTTCTCCTTGTGCCCTCCATCTTTCCCAACATCAGGGTCTTTTCCAGGGAGTCTTCTCTTCTCATGAGGTGGCCAAAGTATTGGAGCCTCAGCTTCAGGATCTGTCCTTCCAGTGAGCAATCAGGGCTGATTTTCTTAAGAATGGAGAGGTTTGATCTTCTTGCAGTCCATGGGACTCTCAAGAGTCTCCTCCAGACCATAATTCAAAAGCATCAATTCTTTGGCAATCAGCCTTCTTTATGGTCCAGCTCTCACTTCTATACATCACTACTGGGAATACCATAGCTTTAACTATAGGGACCTTTGTTGGCAAGGTGAGGTCTCTGCTTTTTAAGATGCTGTCTGGGTTTGTCATTGCTTGGGCTGCTGGTAAACAACAGCAATTTCCCTTGCTCACAGAAAACTAGCATATAAGGAAGAATCCAAGGCTGAACACTGTCTTTCCCTGCAGATTGGAGTTCTGCATGCAGGGATTATTTATTCACCACGGGGGAGCATTCAAACATGTTATGAGCCCTGTTGGATCACTCCAAATGGTGGCAGACTTTGTGCTGTCAAATTAAAGCAGCACCCTGTGCAATGCTAAAATTCGGCAAAACCCACACCCATTTCTCTTGCTCTGTTCTGCAGCATTGTGTGGTGCTCACTGCAAAACGACACTCAGTGTGGTTACACTGGTCGCGCTTACCCCAAAACTGCCTCTGCTCCACAGCCCCCGTCTCATTCAGCATCCTGGACATTCGCAGTGGTCAACCAGCTGCCTCAAGGGACAGCCTGCAAGAACTCATTGATCCCCAGCGATTTGCTTTTGGAGGCATGATGATGCCTCTGACACGTAAGGGTTCAGTTTGTTGCGAACCCTCTCTTGCAGTCTGATTTGCAACAGTCCAGGATGAAACTGTGATTCTACTGATTGTGTTAACGGGTCTTGAATTCCTAATGCATGCCGGTATATGGTTGCAGAAGATGCCCCATTAACACGTATGCAATTACAAGCTCGGCTCTTGTGTTTCCCTGTACATATTCATGGATCATTGAGTGGATAACTACAGGCAGACGCGGTGACTAAAATCCAGCCGTTTTACCTGACGAAGGGAGGGGGAAGTAAAAGACTTAACTCAGTGAGGTTATGGGCCAAGCCTGCTAACGACAGCCTGTCGGAATTGCTAACTGTTCCACAGACATACTAAATGAATTATTAAATTAGTCTTGCCACTCATGAGACACTTTTATTAATGGCTTTTGGAAATAGCTGCCTGGATAGTTAAAAGTGCTGCGAGGACATGCAAGAAATTTCTCGAATGACAGAAAGGCCCTGAAAGGACGTGCCCCAACTGGCTGACTGACCTGGTTGGATAAAGGTGACACTTGTCTGAACTAGGGATGAGGAACCTGTGAACCCTCGGTAGATGTTGGAGGACTCCAACTCCCATCAGCCCTGGCCAGCATGGGCCAATGAACAGGGATGATGGGTGTTATAGATTGACATCATCTGGAGGTTTCTCACAACTGCTTTTATCTATCTGGGAAGGGGGATAGAAGTGTACTGGGAACTGAACTCCAAGCAGGTCCTAAACCTAGGAACTGACAGGTGCTTGGTTAGGATTTTCGGCAGTGCAACATGGCAGTCACAGTGATGATCCCTTCTAAGATTATACAACTTCCTAAGATCATGCTATAATATTATAATTATATAAAAATAATAATTGGGGATGCATTGCAATAATCAAAGCAGATCTCCATGTGTTGCATTTCAGCTGGATATACTTTTTTCTGTGCAAGTACAATATCTTCTTTTGGAGAGACCTGTGTTTTTCATGAAGTTCCATTGTATAGAACAGACCCTGCACACCATTCTCTTGAAACAGAAGTGCCTTGAGTTTTCAGTGTTACCAAATGTTTAGCTTTGGAGTATACAGTGGTCCCAAAGCTCCCCATTCATGCTGATTTGGTGGCTCTATGATGCTGGAGACAGAGCCCCTGCCAGGACCCTCATGCAGAAGTAATAGCGGGTCTTCAAAAGCAGCCCCCTACATGAAGTGTTCAGCTTAGGAAGGATTGCTGTCCATCTAAATAGCTCCTCCTGATATTTGCTAGACCCCACTTGAATTTAAACATCAAAACAGACCTGTATGCAATATCCTGTTTTGCAGAGGACCACCCTGATGTCTACGGGAAGCCCGTAGTAGCACCCAAAGACAATAGTCCTTATATGACAATACTCCAAATGACAAGACACTTTGTATTTAACTTCTTACAAGACGGTCTACTTACTGCTCAGTCTGACAAAAGTCCTTCTGAGTCCTGAAACTCACCTACAGTATAAGCCCAAAGCAGAGCTCCTGAAAAGACAACTGTGAATCTAGGTACACAACTGGGAATTATTTGGTGTGCTTGCCCTCCCTAGTTAAGAACATCTGCTTTAAATAGGCAACATCTGCAGGTATCTCCAGTTTGTGTTGATGATACACCCCCTGTTTGGCAATGAAGGCCAATGTCCTGATCTCTCCTTTTCAGTTGCTGCTTTTGGTCTCTTCAGGGGTATTCCTCTTTGTGACCTCACATCCCACAAGAGCCCATCCTTGTTCCAAACATCTACCGAGCCCTACACCAGCTTTCTGCAGGAGCTGAATCATCAGACTTCAGCAGCGCATATAATTTGCACTGCCGGAATCCATCGCTCGGGAAGATTTGGGATGGTCGCCAGTTTCTGACAAACATCTGTTACAACTCTCATTTAGAATCCTCTCCATTATGCTACAAATATCGGGTTTGTGAAGAAAAAACAGACCCTTTGCAAACCAAATCCTAATCACTTGTGTTTGAGCATGCATCTTTGACATGCTATTTGGTGCACAGATTTGGGTTCGTTCTGTCGTTCTTGTAAACCACCCCCACCTCTATTTTTGAGCGACGCAAGAAAAATTAGACTATTGGGTAAGAAAGCTGTGTGTTTTCTTGACAGCAAAACTGGTGTGTGTGTGTGTGGCTTGTTTCCAATGCAAGGGTAAAGGTAAAGGTAAAGGGACCCCTGACCATTAGGTCCAGTCGTGACTGACTCTGGGGCACTCTTGCGGCGCTCATCTCGCTTTATTGGCCGAGGGAGCTGGTGTACAGATTCCGGGTCATGTGGCCAGCATGACTAAGCCAGTTCTGGCGAACCAGAGCAGCGCACAGAAACACTGTTTACCTTCCCGCTGGAGCAGTACCTATTTATCTACTTGCACTTTGATGTGCTTTCGAACTGCTAGGTTGGCAGGAGCAGGGACCGAACAACGGGAGCTCACCCCGTCGCAGGGATTCGAACCGCCGACCTTCTGATCGGCAAGTCCTAGGCTTTGTGGTTTAACCCACAGCACCACCCACGTAGAGGGGGGTTATTGTTTGGCACCATAGAAATTGAACTGGACTGGTTACAAAGGCAGAAGAGGTGGAGAAGAGGCTGTTTCATTGGATGCATTAGGAAAATGTTAGGAACAAAGCTAATTCATAGAAATTCACTGAAAGTCTTAGGAGTCTCAAAGCTGAACGATATAGCTAGCACCACCAGACTGAGCAGCTCTCTCTGGCTGTCTAGACGCAAGCAACTGTTCTCTGTGAATATATGAACTGTTTTCTCCAAACTGCATTCAGGCATGCAGTTTCCACTGGGAATCTGAAGCAGGGCAGTCCAACAAGAGATGCATTGGAAGCTTCTGCTGATCATGTTCATATTCAGCAAAAACTGTCATGCATAGAATTCCAACAAAAATGGAAAAGGACCTGCACCTTGTGTGTTCGTCTGTGGTCAGGAATGGAAATCAGTGAAGTGAATTTAATTTGCATTTGTTCATGATTTTTTTTTTAAAGTCTGTAAACAATGCACAATTATTATTTTAATATTGTTTATTTATTTTCATTTATTTTTTCCATAAACTTTATATACTGCTTGATTGTAAGAAAAAACCTCTGGATTTTGAAGTTTACTGGTACATTGAAATAAATGTAAGTTATGTAAATAGCTGTGTAAGTTACGTATCCTATGTTCAATAGCAGACAGCGAGCTGAGCAATAGAGCATTTGGTAGAAGCCAAACGGCAGCAGAATGGAAACAGAGATGATGGTGAAGAATGCATGTTGGAATGGAAATTGCAGCCTTCTTGCATCCTTAATCGTGCACAATGATGACACCATATGAAGAGGTTGGGCTAGACTGAGAGAAGGCACATGGGTGAATAAAACTGATTTTCTGGGCTTTCACACAATCCATATTGGTTATAGAGAATGGGGGACTTTCTGGCACATTTGGGACACATTGCCCTTGTTTGGCTAAAACCGTTCCTTGCTCTATGCCAAGCTATGGTTCATTTCCCTGAAACTCAATTCCAGGCAGAGACTAAGCAGTTCCAGTCCTCTGTGCGGAACAGCAACAAATCACCACAGACAGGAAGGAAGGCGGACAGGCTAGTGGACCAGAAATCTATGTTGCCATGAAGCATTTCAATTCCCAAAAAAGCCCATTATTGGCCTCTTCCTCTTCCCTTTTTACTTCTGTAAGAAAAGATGAAAGCAAAGGACATGTTTCAAAAACTAAAAGAACATTCCCTTGCAAAGACTGGGATCCTTAAAACCAGCTTCTTTTGGAGGCCAA